GATGGGGTTGCACACGCTCTCCAGCTGCTTCTGCTGGTGCTGGAACTCCTCTTTCTCGGCCAGCTGGTTGTTCTCCAGCCAGGCGATGGTCTCCTGGCACTTGTCCAGCACCTTCTTCTGGTCCTCGGGGCTGATTTTGTCCTGCAGGCTCTGGTCCTGCACGCTGCTCTTCAGGCTGAAGGCCAGGGACTCCAGGGAGTTCCTGGCGGCCATCTTGTCCCTCTGCAGCTCGTCCTGGGCTTTGTATCTGTCGGCGTCCTGCAGCATCCTCTCGATCTCCTCTTTGCTCAGCCGGCCCTTGTCGTTGGTGATGGTGATCTTGTTCTCTTTGCCGGTGCTCTTGTCCACCGCCGACACGTTCAGGATGCCGTTGGCGTCGATGTCGAAGGTGACCTGGATCTGCGGGACGCCTCGGGGAGCCGGCGGGATTCCGGCCAGCTCGAACTTGCCCAGCAGGTTGTTGTCCTTGGTCATGGCCCTCTCGCCCTCGTAGACCTGGATCAGACAAACCAACATTAGACCACTGGATTAACATAACATTCAACATCTATGAAATGGAAAAAATAACAGCCTCTCTCAATCACAGGACTGAACAATTTGATCAATGTTGGAAGATTTGGGTAGACTATGTAAAACCTAAAAGACCTGATTTCATTTTTAAAGACCAAACTTGTTAAACTTCCTCAGCAATCCACTCTCCTAGAATAGCCACGCTTTATAATTATTTTATATTATAGTGTTTTGTTACTGTATTTCCTTTCTTCTTCCTTAGTTTTTTTTTTCTTTCACACTTTCTTTTCTTTATAATCACTTTAAAATCTTTCTCAGAGAAGTGTAGTTACATTTTTTGATTTGACTGTTATAAGGCAATGGTCTATATGTTAATCTTATTTCAAATGTTGAAGTGAGTTTGGTGATGCCTATTGTCATGTAAATGATACTTTCTCGAGAATCAATAAAGATATAATAAAAAATAAAAAAAGACCTGGATCAGGACCCCGGGCTGGTTGTCGGCGTAGGTGCTGAACACCTGGGTCTGCTTGGTGGGGATGGTGGTGTTGCGTTTGATCAGGGAGGTCATCACCCCTCCCGCCGTCTCGATTCCCAGGGACAGGGGCGCCACGTCCAGCAGCAGCAGGTCCTGGACGTTGCCCGAGGTGTCGCCCGACAGGATGGCGCCCTGCACGGCGGCGCCGTACGCCACCGCCTCGTCCGGGTTGATGCTCTTGTTCAGCTCCCGGCCGTTGAAGAAGTCCTGCAGGAGCTTCTGGATCTTGGGGATCCGGGTGGAGCCTCCCACCAGGACCACCTCGTGGATCTGGCCCTTGTCCATTTTGGCGTCCCTCAGGGCTTTCTCCACCGGCTCCAGGGTTCCCCTGAACAGGTCGGAGCACAGCTCCTCGAAGCGCGCCCTGGTGAGCGAGGTGTAGAAGTCCATGCCCTCGAACAGGGAGTCGATCTCCAGGCTGGCCTGGGAGCTGGAGGACAGGGTCCTCTTGGCCCTCTCGCAGGCGGTGCGCAGCCTCCTCAGGGCTCTCTTGTTCTGGCTGATGTCCTTCTTGTGCTTCCTCTTGAACTCCTCCACAAAGTGGTTGACCATGCGGTTGTCAAAGTCCTCTCCGCCCAGGTGCGTGTCTCCGGCCGTGGCCTTCACCTCGAAGATGCCGTCCTCGATGGTCAGGACGGACACGTCGAAGGTGCCCCCGCCCAGGTCGAAGATCAGGACGTTGCGCTCTCCCGTCTTGCCTTTGTCCAGACCGTAGGCGATGGCGGCCGCCGTGGGCTCGTTGATGATCCTCAGCACGTTGAGCCCCGCGATCACGCCCGCGTCCTTTGTGGCCTGGCGCTGGGAGTCGTTGAAGTACGCCGGGACCGTGATGACGGCGTTGGACACCTTGTGGCCCAGGTAGGCCTCGGCGATCTCCTTCATCTTCACCAGGACCATGGAGGAAATCTCCTCCGGGGAGAAGCTCTTGTCCTCGCCTTTGTACTCCACCTGAATTTTGGGCTTCCCTCCGTCGGACACCACCTGGAAGGGCCAGTGCTTCATGTCCGCCTGCACCACCGGCTCCTCGAACCTCCTTCCAATCAGCCTCTTGGCATCAAACACCGTGTTGCTGGGGTTCAGGGCCACCTGGTTCTTGGCCGCGTCCCCGATCAGCCTCTCCGTGTCGGTGAAGGCCACATAGCTGGGCGTGGTCCTGTTGCCCTGGTCGTTGGCGATGATTTCTACTTTTCCGTGCTGGAAAACCCCCACGCAGGAGTAGGTGGTGCCCAGGTCGATGCCGATCGCTACGCCTTTGGCTGCCGACATGCTGGCTGTGCTGGCTTTGTCTCCTAGAGGCGCAGAAACAGGAGAGAGAACGTCAGAGAGAGAACCTCTGCAGCTAAAGCTGGTTTCTATCAGGATAAAAGAAATCCCAGAGTCCCACCATCAGAGGATGAGCTCAAACACCCTGAATGCATCATGAAATCAGTTTTATTGGGAATTAGTAAAGGTATTAAATGTTATTTAAATAAATCATATGTTTACAAATGTCAATGGACTACCAAATAAGCAACAGAAATAACTTAATTTGTATCTGCTTTTTTAAAATATATAATATATACATATATTCTATCAAATATAAAATAAATCCGAGACTCGCAGCATCAGAGGACGGAGCTCAAACACCCTGAATGCATCATGAAATCAGTTTTACTGGGAATTAATAAGGGTATAAAATGTTCAAGTTATGTAAATAAATCATATCTTTACAAATTTGAATGAGTTATCAAATAAATAGCAGATTTTTAGCTTTTTTCTATGAGTTATTAGTAGTTGTTATTATTAGTAGTTGTATTATTATTATTATCTATACAAATATACAGCTGCCAGCATTAGTCATGTGAAACTTTAAATGAGTCAGAAAACAAACTATTTTGACCAAACTTAAAAGTTACTACCTAATAGTTATTTATATATATATATATATATAGTTATTTATCATTTTCAAATTAACATGCTAATAATAAAAGGTAGATAAAATTGTATTTGTCAGTTGGACTAAAGCAACTGACATTTTTACATTTAAAAACATAATTCAAATTAGATCATGTCTACACTATTTTGACTGTAAGAAATCAAATAAAAAGTAGAACTAAAGTAGATTCTTGAAGCTCAAAGTTTCTTAAGTACTCACAGAGTATGGAGGATTTTCTAAGCTGAAAGTTTCTCTAGTACTCACAGAGTATGGGGTATTTTCTGGGTCAGGATGAGTCCGGTTCTTCCCCGGTTCTTCTCCTCTTGCGGGTCTCTTCTCGGATCTTGTTCTGTCAGATTTGCTGGAGGATCCAGAACCGGCGACTGGACTTATTCTCTCTCCGCGGATTCTCGCTGCTTCTCGAGCTTTCCGCTGGCCCTCTCGTCCAATCAGGGCTCGGCGTGGGCTTCGTGCGTCATGACGTCACCCGCGAGAACTTTCTCCTGTGTTCTGGTCGCGCGGAGAGACCGTTAGAGACGTTCAACCGAAATGAAGTTCGAATTGATTTAAAATGTATCAATTAAAAACGGCTGGAGAGAAAAACTGATGGTTTAAAAGGAGACAAATATAAGACTATCAAGAGGTAAATATACAAATATATAACCACCAACTGCAGTTCAAGGATTCTTAATATTCGTTTAGATATTCAAAGGGATCAAAATCAAGTAAAGGAGGATATTTTTTGGTTATGACCTGAAAATAATTTAAGACTACTTAAAAAAAGAGAAGAAAAAAAGAAAGAGCCTTTAATATTCTCTACCATTGAGACAGAAAACATTTTAGTTTGTTTGTTAAACTTTTGTACTTTTGGTCTCAGTTCAGCTTCATGCTGTTATTTCAAAATGTTAAAGGTGAGTTTATAAATGAAAACAATGAAATACATCACAAATAATAAATAAAAAAACATTGATGTAGTTAAATTAAATCTAAATTAACTCCAGTTCAAACTCTTTTCTCAATACTGATGGTAGTTTTCATTCAGTGTTTCATTTCTTTGTGCTTTTTCTGTCCAAAGTGGTAAGAATATGAAAGAAAACAAGGTCTCATCCCAAACCCTTTTTTATCTAACTGTTTTTTTATCACCACTGTTAAGAGCCAAACCAAAAGTATTTTAAATGTAAACACATTAACTTAAAAACCGTTACCAATGGACTTTTATTTCTTCCCCATTTAACACAATTACTTTCTAACAGTTTAACTGTAAATATCTGTAAGACTCAGATAAGCTGTGACTCAGTTTTATAGTTTTTATTCACACATGTTGTATTCACCACAAAATAGGGGAATTATTATGAAATGTCTCAAAAAGAATAAGATATTTGGAAAACAAAGAAATGAAGAAAGAAAAAAGTCAAATAATCCCAAATATTAAACACCCGCAAAAAGTTCCAGTTCATGAACAAACATCATAGTGTAGAATTTATTGGTAATGGAATATTCCATAATGTGTTTATTCATACATTAAGAACACACTGAATATTTTTACCAAACAGTAACCAGGAAACATCCAGAGCTGCCAAAGATTGAATCAGACCTGAAGGTTTATGTTAAGAACATGGTGAAAAACACAAAGTTCATAAAAGTGGTTTCTCGGCACATTGGTGTGGTGGTTAGCACCATCGCCTCACAGCCAGAGGGTTCTGGGTCGGAGTCCCGGGGGAACCAGAGGGTTCTGGGTTGGAGTCCCGGGGGAACCAGGACCAGAGGGTTCTGGGTCGGAGTCCCGGGGGAACCAGGACCAGAGGGTTCTGGGTTGGAGTCCCGGGGGAACCAGGACCAGAGGGTTCTAGGTTGGAGTCCCGGGGGAAACAGGACCAGAGGGTTCTGGGTCGGAGTCCCGGGGGAACCAGGACCTTTCTGGGTGGAGTCTGCATGTTCTCCTGTGTCTGTGGGTTCTCTCCGGGTTCTCCGGGTTCCTCCCACCCTCCAAAAACCTGCATGTTAGGTTGTTGGACTCCAAACTGCCCTTAGTGTGAGTGTGTGTGGTTGTGGGTCCTTGTGTGTCTCTGTGTGTCCCTGTGATGGACTGGGGGCCGTCCAGGGTGACCCCGCCTCTCCCCATTGGCTACTGGGATAGGCTCCGCCCCCCGCCCCCATTAGGGAATAAAGGTTATGATAATGGATGGCTTTTAACTCAGGATGATAAATGTATCTGTTGTCCTTTTAAGGCTTCTTAAATATATTTTCTGCATTTTTTAACCTTGCAGCACTTTAATCTGAATCCATTTTGTTCTTGAGGTGCTTTATAAATTAAATTGTAAAAATAGTTATTAATTAAATAATAACTACATCTTTTTTTGAGACTCTGCCACTTTAAGATGATCTTTTAATGTCCAGCCCATTAACCTGGTCAGTTAGAATAAAACCTTCCTCCAGCTGTTTCCTGTTAGCCACACGTCCTTTTAAGCCTTTTTCCCTCAAAATTCAGTATAATCTGCTCATTCAACTGGAATAAATATCAATGAAATGTGTTTTCCCCTTTTTAACGTCTGCTTCTCAGGTGTTTTCCTCCTCAGCTGCTTGTGGGGGGGTTCTGGCACCGCTCTCCTCTTCGGGTTTGCTGCTGGTGAAAAATGGAAATAACTCAAATAATAAATTGGGAAACTAAAAAAAAACATTTAAATGAAAATGCAAAGGAAAAAAGATGAAATAGGTAAAAACAAAAAGGTAAAGAAAATATGTTAAAAGGCTCATATTTGATTGATCTGTTCAGATTTGTGCCGTTTGTTTGGTTGTGATGACTAAAAATCAGCCATTTTTTCCCTCTGAATCATTGTAAAACACACCCACACTCACCTGAGACTGTTCAGGTCAGAGTCACAAAACGGTCGACTGGCCTCAGGATTCAAGGAATTACTAGAAAAACAAATAAGACCTTTAGAAGTTTCAGGCCTGAAAAGCAGCAAAACCACATGTTTTACCAGATGTTTTACTGGATGTTTTATTACATATAATACCAGATGTTTACCAGATGTTTTGCCAGATATTTTTCCAGGTGTTTTATTTGATATTTTACCAGATGTTTACCAGATGTGTTGCCAGATGTTTTGTCAGGTGTTTTGACAGATGTTTTACCGGATATTTTACCAGATGTTTGTCCAAATATTTTACCTGATAGTTTTTCAAATATTTTACCAGGTGTTTAAGATTGTGTTGCCAATTGTTTACCAGATGTGTTGCAAGATTTTTCGTCAGATATTCTACCAGATGTTTTCACATAAGTTTTTTCAGATATTTTACCAGATGTTTTACTGAATGTTTCATTACATGCTTTACATGATTTTTTGTCAGATGTTTTCCCAGATGTTTTCCCAGATGTTTTACTGGATGTTTCATTACATGCTTTACATTATTTTTTGTCAGATGATTTCCAGATGTTTTCCCAGATGTGTACCAGATAAATAAATAAATCCTATAAATGTGTAGGTGTGAATAACAGTCAGAGAACATGGGGGAGGCACCTCTGTTCCGGCTCCTCTGGACTTCCAGCTTCTTCTTTGTCTTCAGGTTTTTTATCCTGTTTGCTCTCAGAGTCGCTGCCTTCAGGTTCCTGTGTTGAGGTTTTGGTTTCTCCCTCCCCTTCCTCCTCTGTGTCGTTGCTCTCCTCGCCGGGTTCTATGTTCTCGGCCCTATCTTCCTCTGAAGGAAGATCCTGAAAGGTAAAGTGCTCCAGGTTCATTAGTTTGTAAAGATTGAACATTTAATCGTCTCATTAACTCATTGACTCCCAGCCATTTTCAGAACAGAGTCCCATACTGCCAGAGTTTTTGGAGCATTTTGACTGATTTTTCTAGGGCCACAGAATAGTTTGTGCTATGACTACACCGAACACACCAAAAGAAAGAGTAGACTCTCTTCTTTCATCGGGAATTTTTTTTTGTTTCTACCTTATTCCGTTCTTCCTGGACTTGCGTCTCACCGGCGACATGTTCTCTCATAGAACCGTTCCCTTTTTCTTATTTGCCTACAGTCTATGCTCATCTCCCATCAAAAGTGGCACTGCCCCCTAGAGGCTCAATTTGTTACTACATACTCTGTCTAGAAGCCGATATTTACGGACAAGCTTTAGCAGATCGTCCCCCAGACACTCTGGTTAAAAACATAAAAGACCTCTATAGACGTCTTTGGCAGCCAATGAGTTAACTCTCTGATGACTGTCGTTGGCTCTCATGTTTTCCCCTGAAATTAACCCCAAAAAACAAATAAATGTCACGTCTGGGGGAATATCTGGTGTGTTGTCATGTGTTGATTACCTATTGTGTACACCTGGGGTTCCCCTCCCTCATGTGTTTAAATAATCCTCGTTTCCCATGTCCTGTGCCAGTGCGTTTTTGTCCTTGTGAGTTTTTCTTCACCCTTCGCCACATCAGGTTTGATTTTTGTCACAGCCATGCCATAGCCTGGTTTACTTTATTGCCATAGCCTTTGTTTTTGCCACAGCCATGTTAATCTTGTTTGTACTTTGCCATAGCCACGTTTTTTGTCATAGCCATGTTTTTTCACTTTCATGTTAATCATGCTTTGTTACTTTATTTATAGTTTTCTCACAGCCTTGTTTTGAACTTTGCTCGCATCCACTCCGTTTGAGTGCGTTTTTGTTCAAATAAACCCTTGTTTCTGAATCTCTGCGACTGAGTCCTCCCTAAGATCCACCTACGTGACAATGATTAAACCTGTAGATCTGCTTTTTATAGGTTTCAAACAAATAGCATCAGGAAAAGGAAAATGCTGAATTCAGTAACTTTAGGACGTGAAAGTGAAGACACATAGAAGATAAAATTAAGTTAAGTTTTATTAGAAAGTCCAACAGATCACAAATAAATATGACAACTTCTGAATATCCTCAATATAACTTAAAAACAACAATATATTCATAAAATATATATATTATTTATATGAAGTTACAGTTCTTAATTCGCAGCAGTAATAACAGTTCAAACTATACACATATTTAATAAAGTGACGCTCAGTGATCAGAATTAAGTGGGAAGTTTCTATTCTATTTTTTAAAATAAAAAAGATTAAACCTGTAGATAAGATCTTAGAATTATAAACTAAATAGGAGCAGTAAAAGTAAAATCTTGAATTTGGCAACTTTAGGACATAAAAATGAGAAGAAAGTGAAGAAAGAAACTAAAGTGAAGTTGATTCTTACTACAAAGTCCATAAAGAATATTTAAACCCTCTTATGTCCACAAATCATATAAAAGTACTAAACATGTTTTAAACTGATTGGTTTTTAATTCATAGCAGCTTTGACAGTTCAAACTCTCCCGGTGTTTCTCAGAGTTGGACAGTGGTCAGAGTCCGGGCCATAATGAACATTTCATATTTAGTCCACCTCCTGGATGTTGGGCCCCTGGCCCCCCCCTCAGTCCACCTCTTCGATGGTGGGCCCCTGGCCCTGGGCGCGGGCCTGC